GGTCTTTGCACATGGGCACCGCGCAGGCTTCCGTTTTGGGAGTGATTTGTGTGGCTGACCACCAGTTTTATATTTGACTTCAAAATTACCCTTAGTTTTCTGCTCTGAAAAGTGGCCGCCTCCCTTTCCCTCTAGGGGCCTGGGTCACTGAGGTGAGGGGTGGACACTGCAGGACCTGCCACTGCGGGTCTTCCTGAGACCCTCCCAGTTTCCAGGGAGCACGTCGTCTAGGGAGTTCTTGCCGTGGACCAGGCATGAGGATGGGCCCCAAGTATTAGTTGAGGAGATGACAAGAGGGGGCGATGGGGTTGAGTACTCACGAGCAAGTGGGGCCTGGCTGATGGGGTCTTCCACATGTGGGAGACCAGTGCTGCGAGGAGGGGGTCTGACTTGGTGGCCCTGGCCACGGGTGACATGTGGGCCTGTTCTGGGTCTGCAGCTTGGCAGGGGCCTTGGCCCCTTCCCGGGGTAAGGAGTCGGCCCCCGTTGTTAGGGACACACCTGAGTGTGTCATTCCCAGGGGCCCCTGCCGTGTTCCAAGAGGGACGAGCCTTCGAGCTGTAACTGTCCTGCACAGTGTTCACATGGGTCTGGTCCAGCGAATTTCAGCCAGTGAGTGGTGGAATGAGGATTTAAACCTCCCCAGTGTGACCCCAAGTTCAAGTCCTGGCATTTTGTTGGCAACGAGAATATCGAACTTGGACAGGATCCTGAGGGGGATGCTGTGAGCTCACACCAAACAGCCAGCATCTGGGGACAAGAGTTACAGAAGGATTGGTTCTGCCCTTGTTTTCTCTCTAGATTCTCCGACCAGCCCATCGTTTTGATAAGAATGTTAAAAACTTACTGCTTTAGAGTTCTTTGTGAACCCATCTCCAGGTTCTTGAAAAGCTATATACCCCATACAGCTTATCTGTTCCTGTAAAGTGGGAGATTTAATACACTTTTAAGTACATAAAACTTAGATTTATTTTTGTTTTAAAAATTAGTATTAAGAATACATTTACATTCAAATCTTATTAAATCTTACAATTCAGTTAGTAATTCTGGTATATTTTAATGGTCATTTATAAAGAGCTCTTGGATTAATGTTGGTACCTACTGGCAACACTTTTCAAAGTTTTTTTCATACCTCTTAATGCAATCCCCCACCCCCACCCCCATCCCAGAGCACAATTGCCTGATTTTAACTATAGATCTTTTCTGTTGCCTTCAAGTTTATTATCCCACCTTTGTTCACCTTCCACTCCTGAGTAACCGGTTTTAACCAGTTTTTAATTGTTTTATGTACAGTGTACCTTGGAGATATTGAGGGTTCAGTTCCAGACCACTGCAGTAAAGTGAGTATCACAGTAAAGTGAGTCACACACTTTTTGGTTTGCCAGTGCATATAAAATTTACGTTTACACTATACTGTGATCTGTTAAGTGTACAATAGCATTCTGTCTAAAAAACCAGTGTACCTACCTTAATTAAAAAATACTTTATTGCTAAAAAAATGCTAACCATCTGAGCCCTCAGCAAGTTATAGTAGTAACATCAAAGATCACTAATCACAGATCACTGTAACAAATATAATAATAATGAAAAAGTTTGAAATAGTATGAGAATTATCAAAATGTAACAGACAAGAAGTGAGCAAATACTGTTGGAAAAATGGTGCGGATAAACTTGGTCAATGGAGGATTGCTCCAGGCCTTCAATTTGTTAAAAAAAAAAATTGTGAAGCATAGCCTATTTTCTCTGTAGTGCTTATGTGTTTGCACCTCTATTTCTTTTTAAATCCTAGTTTTAAAAGTCAGGCTTACTGATGTGTGATTTACATTCAACAAAATGCGCTTCTCGTAGGTGGGCAGTTTGATGAGTTCTGGCACACATAATCAGTAAGACAACCATCAAAACAGGATAATCTCTCTGTCACCTCCAAATGTCCTTTCCCCACCTGTTTCTTGATTTACGAAGTTTAAGCAGCATCTGTAGAGTCCTTGCTCGTTAAGATCATTCTCTGATTTTTAAGGATAATTTGCCTCATTCCTATTTTCTTCTCAGGGTGGATCAGGTTGGAGTTTTATGTCCTTTAGTTAGAGTGTTGGGTTGTGGTCAGTCCAGGACAAAGGGGAGAAGGCAGAGCCGAGTTTGAAGACCCCCTACTGCAGGCTTGGGGCCTGCAGGAAGCGGCGCAGTGGTGAACACACTGTACTACTGCGCAGGCGCCCTCTGGAGACCAAAGGGCCTCGGTGCGCAGTCCCTGGACTGGCCTAGGAGACCCGCAGGAGGGGCTCCCCAGCTGGAACTGCAGAGTCGCCCTACTGTGCACCAGGCTGAGGGGACCGGGAGCTAGAGGGACAGACTCACTTATTGTTGACGATAATAACTGTCAGTTGACACACTCACTTGCTATGTGCCAGTACACTTAAATATATTATCCTCTTTCATCTTTTTTATTAATATATTAAAAAAATTTTGAAACAAAAGCAAATGTGCAGAAAAGTTACGCATACAATACAAAGGACTGGTTTTGTTTCCTGAGCCGTTTGTGAGTAAGTTGTCAGTTGAGCGCCCTCTTTCTCTGATACTTCAGTGTCTAAGCAGGGGCCTTGCCCGCAGTACAGCCGTCAGGTACATTGCTGCTATCTGGATCAGGGTTTCTCCTCCCAGCGACGTCCTCTGGAGCAGAAGGACCGCAGTCAGCACTGTGCGTTGTACATGCTTGTCAAGTCTCTTCAGTCTAGAAGGAGTCTGGGTATTTCCTTGGCTTGCATGGGCTGACATTTCCGAGTATCAGAGGGAGTGATTTTGCTGAATGATGTTCCGTGGGCATCTCTGTCCGATGTCTGGTGGGGATGTCACATACAGGTTGCTGTGTTCTCATTGCATCTCATCAGGTACTGTGGGCATTGATTTGGGCATGTACACTCATCATTAGGGGCAGGTGCCTGAGGAATTTTCAGTCCCCATGAGGCTGCCAGTGGACCTCCCCGCACCAGTGCGCTCTTGTGGTCTCCTTGCTCTCCTGGGACCCACACCTGTCCCCGTGGTTTGTCGAGCGCCACCTGGCAGCCACTGCCATCTGGAGCCCCGCCACGGGTAGTGTTATGGCTGGTGTTGTGTGTGGGTGGGTGCATGGGGGATGCGTCTGGGGACTGCGCGGTGGTGACCTTCACACTCGGGTCGGAGTCCGCTACACCAAGGCCCTGGGGAGGGCGCCTGGGCCAGCTGTCTCCCATGTGGGGCCTTGCTGTCAGAAGTGCCACTTCACAAACATTTATGCCTGTTGTTTCCTCTGTGTATCTGTGGAAAACAGCGAGTTCACCCCATGTTTCCTATTCTAACCCGGCACCACAGGGCTCATTCTAGTTCTCTCCCGATCCTTATTTCCAGCTCCTTTTTCTGACAGCGAGAACACTGGCTCCCCTTTTCCTCAGTGTGTTTACTTGACTTGCTCAGTTCTTTGTAACTGATCTGCCACCTCCACCACCTCCTCCCCAGTATGGATGCCCGCTGCCCCAGTGGGCTCTGACAGAGTGTTCGGCTGGGTGTCTTCCTCCCCTCACCCTGACTCTCGTCCCAGGCAGCCCCTCTGTGGGAATACCCTCCCCACTGCGCCACCAACTCATCCCTGACATCTGCCATCCCGCAGGGAAGAGGATGTGCGGTCCTTGTCACCTGAATGCAGCTCTGAGAATGGCATTGGTTTTCACTTTATAATCACAATTTTACATCTAAAGTGAAGGATATGTGTGTACGGGAGCCATGCATGGACATGCATGCGAAAGGAAAAACATAGCTGAGTAGAGACTCGCCTGGGAGGGAGTTCTTGTTTTTGTGGTTGTTGTGGGTAGCAGGACCAGGACCAGGACCAGGACGAGGCAGCAGAGCCTAGCTCTGGAGGTAAAGGGCAGCTTGCCCAGCAGGAAGAAGCAGCGGGGTAGCATGGTGGAGGAGGTGAGGGGAAGGCGTACCCCACGTGGAAAGGCACCAATCCCAGCTGTTTACTCCCCCAGATGTCCAGGGTGCTGCAGAAGGATGCAGAGCAGGAGTCCCAGATGCGGGCAGAGATCCAGGACATGAAGCAGGAGCTCTCCACTGTCAACATGATGGATGAGTTCGCCAGATACGCCAGGCTGGAGAGAAAGATCAACAAGATGACGGATAAGCTCAAAACTCATGGTACTGATTGCACTTGTGGCATGGAAAGCTTCTTAAGGGCTGATTAATGGAGAATTCTTTATGGAAAGATTCATAGCATATCTGCTTTGATTCTTGAGTGTTCTCAGTGTTGATAGGAAGTTTTAAGTTGTCTAGAAGGGACCCAGTAATAATGATTACTTTCTCCTTAGTTGCTGGTGAACATTTGCCTTCTAAATGGAGAAACATGTAACATCCTCTTAGATTTTCTTCATTCTCTGTAGGTTGACATTTTCGAAATCAATACTTTTCTGAGAGAAGCCTAGAAAAATCCCATAGTGGATTCCTAGGGGCTTTTGTGAGCACTCTCTGAAAAATGCCTGGCGGTGTCCTTGTCTGAGTGTAGACTTCAGGGTAGGGATCAGGCCTTATCCAACTTTATGTTTGCCACTGTTCCTAACAGTCTCCAGGGATGGAGAGCACTTCTGTTGGACAGCCCGTGTGCTGAGAGTGTGTGTGGCTGTGGAAACATACAGCGGGGCCTGCCCGGGCCGAGACAGACTAGCCTCCCACCTGCAGATTAGTGTGCCATGTAGACTGGGACATCGGGAAGAAAAGTTAGTCCTGTTGGTAACTGCATTGTAAAAAGGATCTCTGATTTAGATGAATAGTTTCAAGATTTTTAAAAATTAAAGCCTTATATCTCATAACCTGTGTGTGATTCTACTTTAAATAATGGCATAGCGGGTGACTTTTAAGAAATTCTATTTTATATTTTCTAGGTATATTGAGCACATACATAGAAAATATTTTATGAGAGGAAATAACATTTCTGTGTACTTGAATATTTTCTTCATTTTTGAGGACGAATATGATCATCATCCTGGTTTTCCTTTCAGTGAAAGCGCGGACAGCTCAGCTGGCCAAGATAAAATGGGTGATAAGCGTTGCTTTCTACATATTGCAAGTAAGTGTCCTGTTGTGTCCCCTGCAGCCGTTGGAGTTGATAATGGACTGTCCTCCAGAACTGTGTGGCCCCAGAAACCAGGCCTGGGAATTCAGGCTTTTCGGCTTCCAGCCGCGGTGTTGAGCGGTCCTGCAGGCGTGCCAACTCTCAACACTCTGAATTTATAAGTTTAACTGAAAAAGAAAAAGCCTTTCTTCCTTTTAGTCTCTTTAGCCTTTCTCGTTTAGAGTTGTTAAATACTGGACTTTTTAGCAAATGAGCTTCTCTGGAGTCCTTTCATATCATCTTTATTTCAGTGCAGTGTTGGGATCCTGGGCGACCAAGTGAGGAAGCTTATTTAGACATGGTGTTTTCAGTGACGTGGGCCGCCTCTTGTCACGTGGGGTGCGGACACGTAGATGAGTGTCCACGTTCCAGACGGGGGCACGCCAGTCACTGAAGTCCAGTATCACCGAGGCCCAGCTTTCTTAGCCGGGGGATTTCTCCTTGTATCCTTCCCTGTGGGACTCTTCCTGCTGCTGCGTCCCCTAAGGTCCCGTGTCTGCTGCGTGTAGACTTCAGCGGCTGCTTTAAGTGATTGCTGAGGTTCGTGCTGGTGTGATGTCTGCTGGGGTGAAGGATGCGGGCCCAGCCCCCCACTGCCCAGGCTGCTTGGGTAGATTTGAGTGCGTTGATCCTGAGGCACTGTCACTTTGATTCAAGGTAGGTTTCACGGGGACAGGAGTTAAGCGAGACGCTCTCTTTCAGTTCTGCTCATTTGAGTGGCATAGGCCACGAGGGGGATGAAAGACAGCTGAAGGAACGCTGCTGGGAACAGACGAGAAAGCCGCGCTTCTCCACCCGCCTTCAGACTTAGCGGGCTCGGCTCTGCACGTGGGCGCCGGCACTCCTGCGTGGATGGAGAGCTAGCTAACATCGCTGATGAGGCGTATTTAGCACAAGCTGGCTGCTTGAAGGAGATGCTCAGTGAGAGGACACCTGTCCGATGGGAGACCTTGCTTAATTTATCAGCTAATTTAACAGCATGTGCCCGTGAGCGGTGGCTGTGCCTGTGTGTCTGTTGGCCGACAGAGCTTGAGGTCATTGATTTGGAGAGTTTCTGTTGTTTGCTTTCACGTTTCCCCACCTTTCATAGCGGTCGGTTGTGCGACAGACAGGATGTTCCCACTCACCAGCCGTGTCTCTGCAGGCGGCCCTGATGGTCTCGCTCATTTGGAAGTATTATTCTGTCCCTGTGGCCGTGGTGCCGAGCAAATGGATAACTCCACTAGACCGCCTGGTGGCATTTCCTACTAGAGTGGCAGGTAAGAGGGTTCTGGAAACACAGTGGAAGAGCATGGACTGGCGTGTGTGGAGGTGTGTGGTGGGGACTCTGTCCGCGACGTCAGCCCGCCGCCCGTGGGCAGTGCCCTGTGTCTCAGCCCCGCATGGGGCCTGCAGTGAAGAAACTGACGTGTGGAGAAGCTCTTTAACTTGTCCCGCGCCACTGAAGTGTTCAGTAGCAGAGCTAGAGTTCAGCCCAAGCCTGCTCCCAGAACCCAAGCCCAGTTCCTGGGGTCTGATACCCCGTTTATTGAAGCACCACCTCTAATTCCCAACTCCTGTGGTTCCGTCTCAGGTCCCACGATGCTTAGCCTGTCTGCAGCATTTACTGCTATCAGCCACTTTCATTTTTGAAAGATAATTTCTTTCAGATGTTAAAATCAGTATATATCATTGTAGAATGATTAGAAATAAAAGAATAGTGGAAAAAAGTCTCACTATCTATGGATAACTCTTAACGAAAAGACTGTGGTATACCAGCTTTTTTTCTATCTATTTTTATACAATAGAGGTCATCTAACACGGAAACACTTTTGCCCCTTTTACTGTACCTTACGTATGCTTTCTCCCATATCAATAAACTGCTGTGGGTTAGGAGACTGATGTGCTGCTGGCTGTGCCAAGAGGACAGCTTAAGAAGTTTCTTTATTAAGGGATTTTGAATAGCTGTTCTTCAGTTGGATGTATCCAACAGTCTCTCTGTTGAAGGATACTTACTTAGCTTCCTGATTTTTTGCTGTAGGGAATAGTGCAGGGCACATCCTTGTCGGTCGGCCTTTGGCTGTGATTTATGATAATGTGGAGGTGATTTCCTAAGCCAAAGGGATGACCGTTCCAAAGATTTCCAGTTCAGTCACGCCCCCCGCCACCTCCCGCCCCTTCCCCTTTCCAACCCACCCAGGAGGGCTCTGCTGGTGGTTCTCTGGGTTGCTGAGCCCAGGAGCAAGAGGCCACCCTTCCAGGCATCTTGCCCCTGGTCTTCCTGTCTCTCAGCCGTCTGAGGGGCAGGAAAGGTGCGGGCAAACATTGCTTGGTGTTCATAGTGCTGTTGTGAGAAGGAAGAACAAATTGTCAGACAGGGTGGTTTTACAATCTGTTAATCTCCTCAATACTATCTCTCTGGCAGGAAAGAGAGGTTCGAATCAGTGTTCATTGCTCTGACTAATTCCTGCTTAATAAAGGCAGCTCTGTGAATCAGTAGAAAGTCTGAATATTTTGCACCCACGGAACGCAGTCTTAGCCCAGCAGGACTCAGAAAGAACTGAAGTGCTCTTACTGCCTGTAAATAAGGTAGCGGCGGCAGGAAACGTGGGCGCAGCTCCGGGCGTGCTCTTACCTTACATTTCCTCGTTTTTAGGTGGTGTTGGAATTACCTGTTGGATTTTAGTCTGTAACAAAGTTGTGGCTATTGTGCTCCATCCTTTCAACTGAAAAAGAAGTTGAATACAGCTCTGACACTTTAAAAAATGGATTTTCAGTTGGGAGGTTAAAAATCTGATTTATACTCTTTCATTGTTTTTTGTTTTTGTTTTTTTAAAGGAAACAGAAGTTAGTTTTTTGGTTCAACGTGTTTGTTCTTGGGCTTCGTCAGATTCTCGTAAGAATCGTGAATTTGGGTATTTGTCATGACCCGTAAATGTCAGTCTCACACGTAAGCACTGTCCAGCATGACACCAAATTTGTAGTAAGAAATGTGTGACATTGTGGGAGGTGGCATTTTGTTATTTGTGACTTACACTCTTGATGTATTTTAAAGGTCACATTGACAGCTGGAAAGTCAAAGTTATTTAATAACTTAAGTACTTTAAAGACTTTGTGCTATTTTTAATCCTGACTAGAAAATAACTTAATTTTAATACCACTACTAGAGTTTGAAAATTTATTTTTTAATCTCTGCAGAACTTCTGAGAGAATAACACTAACTGACATAGCTTCTGTTCTTTCCTTCCTCTTGTTTAAAATGTCATTTGTTGGGCAAGACTTCGTTTAGTATTATCTACTTATTCGAAGCTGTTAATTTTTCATTATTGTGTTTTATAAATGTATTTCTGAGACCATAATGCATTGTTTTGTGCTTGAACTGTGTGTTTTATATTTAAAGCATTTCAAATGAAGGGTAATTTTAAAGCATTTAATATTTATGCTCTGTATAAGGAACAAAGTTTAAAAACGACTTAGGAAATCTGATTAAATTAATTTGAATGGATATACATTTGGCCCATAGAATTTAATTCTGCTAAGTATTTTTAAAAACATTTTTTTCTAATTAAAGTTTTTGCAAGTGCTATGTGACTTCTTTGCTTGTGGCCACACATTTGCTACGACCAGTCTGTGGCAGAGGACCATACCCATTAACTAAGTGGGCCACAGCCACATAAAGCTGAATTCTGTCATCAGTTTTGACAAGGTCATTTTTGTATTCCTGTATTCTCTAATGGTGTAATAAGTTCGTTATTATTTCTGCTAATTGTGCTGTGAAAGACAGTGCTGTACTGCGTAGTTCATTGTCACCGGAGTGGGTTTCATGGTCCCCTCCTCTCTCAGACATACGGGCACCCAGTTGACTTAGCTTTGAGGAAGGATGCGGAGCAGGGGACATGGCCGTATTTATAGTGGACGAGCGTCGTGGAGGACTCGGACACCAGCGTCCCACATCCAGTCACCACACTGGGAACGTTTTAGCCACCGAGGATGAGCAGCGACCTGCGGAGGAGTCGCCGCACGAGGAATCTGCAGGGGCTCAGGTCCCTTCGAGGCCACGCGCCCCATGCCTGTTTTTCGGGAGCTGCGGGCAGAAGTGGCAGGTCACACAGTGAACAGTCGGGTGGCCAGGGATGCGTGCCCGGGATGTCCTCGGACCACTGATCCGTGTAAAGCCTCCCTGACAGGACCCTTGTTTATCTGCTTACGGTATATTCTTTCAGTTAATCCTGCCAGGATTCTGACACGTTCACTAAGGCTGGGGGAAAGGATTTAGAGTTCACAGCTGCTAATTCTTTCCACGTTCATTAATAGTTTGTGAAGGTTAAGTAGGGGACATTTAAATATCCCTCGTGTTTCACATCGTTGTGGTTTTTGAAAAATGGTGTTTGTTTTTAAATAGATAATAAACGTGGCACTGAATTCAGAAGATAGAGAAAGGGGTGTGATGAAGGTGCGTCTCCTGACCTGCTCTCACCTGGCCCAGGGTTCCGGAATTTCCTGCTGTAACCAGTTCCTGCGGTTCTTACAGTGTTATTCCTTATGGTTATGAATACTGACGTGTGCTTTTAAAATAACTTTAAAAAATTATAAAAACAATACCTAAAAAAGACCCCACAAAAACTATTCGTCGCCTTTTTTTCTTTTTTAAATCCTGCTTGGAAAGTACAGAGAAGGAGGAAGGAAGCAGAGTTGCCTCCGCTTCCACAGAACTGGGACTCCTGGTGTCACGTTCATGCTCTTCGCTCCTCTGAAGTTGTATAGGTAGCTCTAGGTTTTATGCTTCTATTAAAAGTCCAGGATCTAGTTTATAGCTGCATATGAAAATAGACATGTGTTTGATTTAAAGTACAGCTGAAGCTCTCTTCGTGCAAGTTCGGTCTCCTTTCTATTTATGGTAAGTCAAGCAGGGAGCTCTTTCTATTTACAAATCCACAGTCATTTCTGTCAGAGGTTAATATAGTTCTTCTGTTGCCACCGCAAGTGGGTGGAATGCTAACTAAACTCGTTTACTCTTCCCTGACCTGGTCAGACTCTGGCCACCCGTGGTTTTTCTTACACAAACATAGCTCTCTGTGGGGGCGGTGTGTCTGTGCTTGTGTGTGCGTGTGTGTGCGTGTGTGCGTGCACACCCGGGCACGCTGATGTTCCTGTCAGTCTATATTTAATTGGCTTTAACACTGTGTATGAAGCCTTCTCTGGACCACCTTAGAACATCGTGTTGTCTTTTTCCTTCCCCTCCTCACCTGAACATCTTAAGTAGTATCAGTATGACTGATCTGCCACCTAATTTTGTATTGACTTGTGTCTGCTGTTACATGTTTTTATTCCTAATGTTTTAGATATTTGTGTGTGTGTGATAAAGGGTTTTCTTCCTGTGAATGCGGCAAGTGCCTTCAGGGCCACCGACTGTTTCTTGGCCTTTTTGTACCCCTCCCAGCATGTTGTTAGTAATTACCCAGGAATATTTAATTAAAAAAAAACCAAACAACTCAGGTAATGGTTTTCTACTAGGGCCATGTATACCTTTCACAGGAAGATTATTTTCATAGTTGAGGGGTTACTAATGAACACTTACTAGAATCTTCTAGGGTACTGCTCTCTTACGAGTCCTCAGGACACGGCTGCTCGGTGGGGTCACCAGCTCCAAGGCTCTGCGTGTGGCGCTCCGCACGCCTCGCGGGCCCTGGGGCAGGCGGCTCGTTTTCTCTCTGGGCTCGCTGTTCTTGTTCGGGTGGGTCCGCTTTTCTGCCCGCACGTCGGCAGCACAAAGTGCGTGCGTCCCTCTTTCCACCCTCAGAGTACTGACTCCTGCGGCTGAGTTCAATCTTAAATTGAATGAATATTGTAGCTTTTGCGGGTATGTTTGCTGTTGCTTGTGCTTTTGGTGTCATCTCTAAGAATCCATTGCCAGAGCCAAGGTCAAAGACTTACCCCTATGTTTTTGTCTAAGAGTTTTAGCTTTTACAGTTAGGTCTTTGGTTCATTTTGAGTTAATTTTATATACAGAGAGGGGTAAGGGTTCAGCTTTATTCTTTTGCCCGTGGATATCCAGTTGTCCAAGCACCATTTGTTGATGAGGTTATTTCCCCATTGGGTGGTCTTGGTGACCTTGTCGAAAGTCAGTTGACTGTCGATACGTGGGCTTACTTCTGGACTGGCAGTTCTGTTCCGTCCACGTGTCTGTTCTCACACCTGTTCCCCAGTGTTTTGATTACTGTTACTTGGTAATACGTTTTGAAATTGGGGAGTATGAACCCTCCAGTTTTGTTCTTTTTAAAGATTGTTTGGCAATCCTAGGTCCCTTGCAATTCCATGTGAATTTTGGGTTCAGCTTTTCAATTTCCACAAAGAAGTTAGCTGGGATTCTGTAGGGGCCGTCGAGTCTGTCAGTTTGGGGCGCACTGCCGTCTTAATGACATCGAGTCTTCCAACCCCTGAACATGGGTGGGTGCCTTTCCGTTTATTTAAATCTTCAGTTGCTTTCAACAGTGTTCTGTAGTTTTCAGATGACAGGTTTTGTACTTATTTTGTTCAATTTATTCATAAGTATTTTATTCTTTTCAGTATGATAAGTGGAATTGTTGTGAAGTTTAATTTCAGGTTTTTTGTTACGAGTGTATTGAAATGGATATTTGTACATTGATCTTGTTTCATGCAACCTTCAGAGCTCATTTAGCAGTTTCGGTAGTTTTTTAGTGGATTCCTTAGCATTTTCCATGTATAAGACCGTGTCACCTGTGAACAGAAAGAGTTTTACTTCTTCCTTTCCAATGAACACTTTTTCTTCTTTTGTGTGCCTAACTGCTCTGGGGGAATGTCCAGTATGATGTTGAGTAGAAGTGATGAGTGTGGACTCACCTCTCTTCATCTGGTTTTGGTGTCAGGGTTCTGCAAGCCTTGTGAGAGTGAGCCAGAGAGTGTTTCTCCTGGTTTTGTATCCTGGGCCAGGTTGCTTAAGGTCTGAATGATTGACTCTTTGCAGGTATGTTGAACTTGCTGGTAAAAGCTGGGTTTTCTCTTATTCCTGATTTCAGTTTCTTTAGTGATTGTAGGGTTATTCAGTTTCATGTTTCTTCTTGAGTCATATTAGGCATCTTAGTGTGGGGATTTATCTATTTCTTCTCAACTTCCAAATATACTGGGATACAATTGTAAATGCTCTGTATGTGATGGGAAATACAAGCTTTAAAATTGTGGGGTGTGGTCTTCTGTGTGTGTCCATTAGGTCAGACAGACTTAACCAGTATCTTATCCAAATCTTTATCTGTAGTTACACTACTGCTCTTTTATTTGCTGAGCTGTCCATTACTGATAAAGGCATGTAAAGATCTCCCACTGTGATGTAGACTTGTAGTTATGTCAAGTTTTGCTGTATGTTTTTAAGTTATTTTTAAATGTATGTATGTGTAGAACTCATATAGCTTCCTAGTGGATTGGGCTCTTTATTATGCTAACCTGTGTTTTCTCTAGTAATAATTTTTGCCTTCAGGTCTTTTTTTTTTGATAAACACTAACTCTCATTTGAATGGCCTTTGCCTGGCAAGCCTTTTGTCTCCCTGTGACTTTCTGTATCTCAGTGGCTTAGATATATGTGTAGAGAGCACACAGCTGTATTTTAAAAATCCAACCCATATTGTCTTTTAACTGGAACATATTGAAATTACTGATATATTTGGATTTATGTCATATTATTTTGTGCTTTTATTTTTGTTTTTATTTGTTCCACTTTTTTCTGTTTTCTTTTTTCTCCTTTTCTGCTGTTTCAGGAGAACCTGTAGTTCTTTCCTCCTCCTGTGTTTCTCCCGTGCGTCCCTTCACTGCTCACATGGAACACTCTCCTCCTGACGCTTCTGATCACCAAATGTGTGCGGCTTTTACCCCATAACAAGCAATTCTTGGGGACACCAGTGGGTGTCCAGCAATTTAACTCAATTCTGACACTCTTTACCTGGCGAGATCATCAGATCCTACAGGTTAAGGCCCATAGGACTGCTCCCCACTTCAGATGCCCGTCCCAAGTCCAGGTTGTCACCTGTGCCTCTGACTGATCAGCTGTAAGTCAGAGGGTCCCACAGCCCCCTCCTCAGGTTTGATTAATTTGCTAGAGTGACTCACAGGACTCAGGAAAACCGTTCACTTTCTGTTCACCAGATAATTATAAAAGGATGTGGTAAAGGACAGAGATGAATGTGCAGAGAAAGTGATGTGTGAGGAGGGCATGTGGGGAGGGGCAGGAGCTTCTGTGCCCTCTCTGGGCACGCCCGTCTCCCCAGACCTTCACGTGGTCACCAACCCAGAAGCTCCCCACCCTGCACTTCTGGGATTTTGTGGCGGCTCCATCCCGTAGGCACGGTCAATCATTAACTTCATTTCCAGCCCTTGTCCCCTCTCGAGAATGGGGGTCAGGACTGCAAGTTCTAAGCTTCTAACCACGGTTTGTTCTTTGTGGTGATCAGCCCCCATCCAGGAGCCACCCAGAGTCACCTCGTTAGAACAAAGGACACGCCTGTCACCCAGGGAGTGACAGGGGTTTCAGGAGTCCTGTGTCAGGAAGGGACCAGACGCTGGGACAAACGATGCTCCTGGTGCTCTTGTCACTTAGGAATTTCCAGGGTTCCAGGAGCTCCGGGCCGGGAAGCAGAGGCGGAGACCACCATACATTTTCTATTATCTCACCATTACTTTTGTTTTTCACATCCCTCTGCCATACTTTTTGAAGTTATTTGATTTTTTTTGCTTTAGTGCTTACACTAGAAAATTATCAACGTTTAAGTTAATATTTTACTGTCCCCATCCGCAGCGTAAGCCTAGCTTCCCTCCCGTGCGCACCTGCATGTAGTTAATGCGGTACAGCCATGCTGCCTGGGCTCCAGCTTCCGTTTTTGTAACCCCTCAAGGCAGCGCTTGTGTACAACAGTGATGTCTGTTTAGAATTACGCACACATTTGCCACTGTCTTGCATGCGAGATCTTTTATCTCAAAATACTCTCCTTCTGCCTGAGGTCTATGTTAGAACAGGGTTAACAAACCACTGTTTGAAAAACTAGGCAGCAGCTGGATGTGGCCCGTAGGCGGAAGCGTGTCTGTTTTATTGGAACGTAGTCAGGCCCGTTTGCGCGTTGTCTGGGCTTTTTCCTGGTGCAGTCGGGGAGCTGAGCGGTTATGACAGAGGGTACCTGGCCCAGGCAGCCGAAAATATGTAGTATCCGCTCCTTTCCAGGAAAAGTTTGATCTTGTCACCAAACTGGGTTTGGATCCGCTTGCCCACGGCACAGCAAAGCCAATCTACTGACACCGGTTGTGATGAAGGAATGTACAGTGTTTATTTATTTGCAGGGTGCTGAGCAAGGAGAGTGGGCAGCTTGAGCTCAGAGGACCCGAACTCCCCGATGGACGGCTTCTAGGGGAGGGTTTTTATCTTATGTTTTAATTAAATATGAGGGGGGTAGGGGAGGGTTTTTAAAGGCAACATTCAGGGTGAGGGTTGCAGCTCACAGACTTTCTTCTGATTGGTAACAAGGTGGTTCTGAAAATTTAATCATTAGCCATCTGGTTGCAACCAGTCTGGTGTCCGCTGCTGTTGGTCAGTGTGTGGTCACCATCCTCCACCTGGGTGGGGGTCTTAGTTTCTGCAGAAGGACTCAGAGGTCTGCATCAGATGGTTACGTTTATTCCTTGAGGAGGAACGGGAACTCTGTTTCACTGCTGACTGTTGTTTAAACTGTTGTTACTTTCCTTGCTTGATTGCTTTTCCTTTGTTTCTGCCTGCCTTCTCGTCCCTAATTAGTAACTGCTCGAGTCTGCTCTTTGGAACTCTGGGAAGGCCTAGGAGACTAAAGCCTTTTTTAATAAACAAGAAGCCGGACATGGAGGGGCTTTTGTACCTGGGAGGGCCCCGCAGTGTCCTGCTGGGTCTCAGTCTCTGCTTTAGAATTTCCTTTGGAGAGGCTCTGATGGTGGCAAACTCTGTTTTCGCTTCTCTGAAAATATGTCTCATTCTTTTTTCCCTCAAATATGGAATGCTTCACAAGGTTCATGTCATCTTTGCGCAGGGGTGGTGCTCGTCTTCTCTGAATGGTTCTAATTTTCATGTGTGTGCTGTGGAAGTGAGCTCTCCCTTATTGTTGGTACTTTCAGAAGGTGTATGTTCTGGGATAACAGTGCTTCTGTCAGCCTGTTAAAAATACTGGCCAGTCTCCTGCCTCCTTTGTTGCTCCTGAGAAGTGCAGTTGCTGCGCCTTTGATGATAAGCTTCCTTTTTCTTGTAGGCACTTTTAAGATTTTCTCTTTGTGTTTGGTGCTCTGCATTTTCATTGTGATCTAGCTGGGGGTGAATTTTTTTTATTTCTGCTTATTTTGTTTGGAGTTTATTAGGCTTTCTAAATCAACGGATTCATATTCTTTGTCAGTTCTGGAAACATTAGTCCTGCTCCATTCTTGAACTCGAGCAGGACCCTGTGGGGCCCTTGAGTACCCAAGCCCCTCTGTGTGCCGTTTCTTATTTATAGGGAAAAAGTTTCAGTCTCCTAGACCTTCCTTGGGTTCCAAAGGGCATATTCAAGTGGTTACTAATTAGGAAAGTGAGGAAATATAGAAACAAAGGAAAAGCAGTCAAGAACAATAGTGCAGTAATTGAGGGGGGGGCAGGGTATAGCTGTAGTGGTAGAGCACGTGCCTAGCATGCACGAGGTCCTGGGTTCAATCCCCAGCACCTCCATTAAAATAAATGAATAAATAAACCTAATTACCTTCACCCCCAACAAAACAAAACAATAGAGCAGCAAGAAAGCAGAGCCCTAGTTCCTCCTCAAGGGGCATGCATAACAATCTGATGCATATCTTGGAGTTTTTTTTACAGGAACTAAGGCTCCCCCCACGTGGAGGAGGGTAACTTCAGGCTGAGCACATGATTCCTGGAACATCTCTGTTACCTCCTCACCAACCAGTCAGAAGAAAGTCACACCAAGTTTTGCCTTTAAAAACTCTTCCCTAAGACCCTTCAGGAAGTTGGAGTCTTTTGAGGACAAGGCGCCCGGCCTCCTTGCTGGGCCCCCGAGCACGCGTTTCTCTGCTCCAAAACGCGCCGTCTGGGCTTGTTTGGCCTCACGGGCACCAGGCACGTGGCCTTGGGTTCAGCCATGTTCTCTCTTCCTTCTTCAGAAACAATGTGTTAAACTGTTTCACTCTATTCATGCCTGTGAACCTCCTTCTGGCATTTTCCCTTTGCCTCGCTGAGCTTTCCTAGGGATCATTCCTTCAGCTCAGTCTTTCTACTTTCTTCATTCTGGTCTCTTCTGCTGTTCAGCCTGTTTACTGAGTTAATTTAAATTAAAGTAGTATATGTCTTCTGAGGTTTTTGTTACATATACTGAGTAATTGTTCTTTTTATTCATATTTTTCGAAACTTTTATTTCTTGAAACATTTATTTTCTGTGTATTTTTGACTGGGGGAAAAAATGCACAACGTAAAAGTTGAGAATTATGTTTTGTTACTCCTGAGGACTATAGCCCGGGAAGGCAGCCTGTCAGATAGCTCTGAAGGACTGTTCCAGAATAGTAAAGAAGGAGCCAGGATATATAGGAGTTTTAGCTGAAAAAAAAAATCCTGTAGTTGAACTTCAAAAGATTACTGCTAATCACAAAAAATGGGCATCTCAAGTTAATGATTTTAGTGCTTTTCTACATATGGGAAGATGCAAGAGTCTGGGCTTTTAAATTTATACCTTTAATATGCATCTTAATTATCTAGGGCCTGTGTCCTGTCTTTCTCTGTCCTGAGCGCCCCTCAGGGTGCACCATCAGGGGCCCCTGCCGTGACTGATGGCTTTATGGCCACTAACATCCTTTGTTTACTGAAGCTGCAGGTGACTTTCTTTGTCCCCATATAATAATACTAAAATGCGGAGTCTGCAAATCTGACCCTGTTGCTCCTTGTTTTCTTGTTTTTTTTCTTACCTTTCTGGGGGAGTTTCTTGAGGGCGGGGTTAAAGGTAGGTGCTTCTTGAGAAGATTTGCATTTCTACTGCCATGGGGGTACCACCAGCCTAGATCTCTTTAAACTTTAGTTTTAGATTATAGAGACCAGGTAACCCAATTTTAGACTCTCCAACAGGATGAGGGCTGCTTGTGGCTACAGAGGTTCAGAGTTAAGGCAATTCTGGTAGCTCACGGCAGCTGGATGTCCCAGTTTGTGGGAAGGACCCCCTGCTGGGCGCCTACTTGGGCTGACTTTGTCCTCTGGGTTTTGTCCTGGAGGCTTTTTGGATACTCAGCAAATGCCCGCTAGGCAGAAGCTGACTTCAGAGCTCTGCTCCCTTGCCACCCTGGGCACCCACTTTCCCTAGTGTTTACCAGCTAAGCAACTGATTAAAAAACATGTTTGTATAGTTAATACGGCATTTGTAGCTTTTTTACAGCAGGAGTGACAGAGTATCTTGTCTACCAGACTACAGGAAATGGATTTCTTGTTTTTATTTTAAAGCCTTTTTTTCTCCTTATTATAAAGTTATGTCCATTATAGAATATTAGGAGGAGGTGGGTGTAGCTCAGCGGTAGGGCGTGTGCTTAGCACGCACGAGGTCCTGGCTTCGATCCCCAGGACCTCCGCTAACCGACAACAGCAACAAAACCCAAACAAAAAAGAAAATCACAGTAGAAAAAATGCCAAGAATCAACTTAAAAATTGGCCACAATCTCATTCCTCAGAGATAAAAGGTTAGCATTTTAGTTTGTTACCCTGTAACTTCCTATGCATATAATTTTTAAAACAAGATGACTACAAAGTAACGGGCACAGATGATGTTTTTATTGAGTAATTCCCCACAGAAGCACTTTTAGGTAGCTCTGATTTAAAGTTATGATTCGTGCTTTTGTTGTGGGGAGGCATAAGGAAGGACCCCTTGAAAATTCCTCCGTCCTCTGTAGAGCGGGGTCGGCGTCGTGAGACTGGTACCACGCTGGGCAGCGTTTCAGGAACCCTTTTAGTAAATGTCTCCGCATTTAGAGCTGGGCAGTTCTGTCCTTCCACGTGGGTTTGTGCGTCTCCCTGTATGAGCCTCCGAGGATTCCAGCTCTCCTCCCCTCTCCCGCTCCCCCTTTTATCCTGCCTTCTCTTTTCCCCCCACTGTGGTTTTCATAAAGATCAAAGCTTATGCCAGTCGTAGTATTTATCTCATCTTTGGTTTTAAATGCAATTCTTTTTACACCACGACTTTCACTCCCTTTTGGAAGTTTATTTTACTGTTCTCAGTTTTCAAAAGTGTGTTGATATTGATGAAATACAATTCGTATTTTCTGGCAAGACAAGAAAATTCAAACATAAAAACTTTCTCTGCTGGTTGGGCCTCCCCCTCCCTTGGGTGTGCATCATATGCCTGCATTAACCAGTCTCCTGAGGAGACGACATTCCTTCTTAATCTCATGAAAGGTCATGACTCCTTAGAAGATAACCTTCCGTCTTAATTTGGTAAGGTGCAGTGACCCCACTGCTTTGTAGTGTAGATCTGGATTGTGTAAACTGTCAATGATACGTTTGACGTATAACCTCTGTCTAAAAAACGTAACGTAACTGCGCTTTGACCTCTAATGGGCACAATCGCCCTCAAGAGCTTTCTGAAAGGCTGTCTCCCAGGTTGTAATCCTCAACCTGGTTCAAATAAAATTTCCATTTCTTTCTTAGATCAACCATTATTTGCTCTTTTTGTCCAAAGTATTACACACCAACCCATAAACATGTTTGGAAATAGTATGGTCTAAATCTTAAATAAGTTTCCCTTGTCAATAAATGAAGGTAAGTTAATGGATTAACACTGGGAGTACAGCCCCCTCTATATAGTCTGAATATAAAATATTCCGGGTGTAACAAATACATTCATTAGGACTGAACAGCTCACTTGAATGGACATGAATTATACCATTATGCTTGTTTCTAAGAAGACTGATAGAAAAAGGGTCAAGGTACAGGTATGCAACAAATATAAATAAAAAATGCTGAACCGTAGGTGTACATGAGGAAAGTGTCACCTACAAAGGCAGGACATTAGACGCCCAGTTTGGCAGAATAAGAGAACACTCAAAAATAATTTTCATAAAACCAAGCTTGGTCATCACTGCTTTTTTTTAAAACTTAAATTTAAAGAGAGGCTTCTCATTATATGGGTTCCTTTCAGAGCTGCTTCCGTGGTTTTAAGTTACAGAGTCATTTGACTCCTGACACAGTTCTCACTTGCAGGAGATGTGTATGTCTTGGGTTGACTGACTTACTGGCTACAGAGGCTCATGGGATATTGAACCATATAATAAATCAGTCTTCCAAAAGATAGTGGACATGTTTCAGTTGTAGGGAAAAAAAAGATGTAATTTTGTTTTTGAAATGTTGTCCTTGGCTAATGTACAGTGGATTTTAAAGTCAGATGAGCACTAGAACAAAACCTTAATTATCCAAAGTCTATTTAAGTAGTGAAAACACATACACGTATGTAATTAGAATGGTAAGATTCAAGGCCCATAAGACCAGAATATCAAACCAGAGTGGGTTAGGATATTGATTATATTTAAATAATTATTTTCCTCTTTCCTTCTGTCGGTGAAGATGACCTGATAGAACTGACCACAGTTACGTTAGAATCTCCGAAAGCATTGCTGGCGGAGGCCTGACCAGGAGGCACGCGGTGCATCTCACTCTGCAGCCTCTCCTCAGACTCTTTAACGACAGCAAGACCGGCTTGGTCGTTTTTTAAGATGCACCCTGAGCCGAAGAGCTCTTCCATCAGAACGCTTTTCTTCTCCCTGAAAGCTGTGTCCTTCGCTCTTGCTCGGGAAGACTTCCCGCAGGAGGGCGGGCCGGCGCCGGCCGGCCCCTCGGGCCTCGGCTCCCCCGCGGGCCCGCGACGCCGGCCGGTGCCGAGCGCGGCCCTGGCGCCGCCCGGGGCGGCCGGGCCCCCGGCGGGGAGCCCCTGTGCA